AGCTAGTCATCACCACCCACCGCCAACTCTTTTACCAACGAATAGTGGGATTGACCATCACATTATAACGCCCCCACGACTGAAAGGGCGAGCATGTTTGGTGTGACGGGGATTCGAACCCGCGACCCTCATATTGCGAGTCGAGCGCCCTAACCACCTGGCCATGCCGGCCCCATAATAAAAGGATTAGGGATGATAAGACGGATTTTTTCCCCTAACAATTTTCAAGTTTGCATATTTATACATAAACCCATTCATAACTAACCAAGAACACTTATAATGTAGAAAAACTCAATATTTTTCTTTACTTGTTGTATCATATAAAGGGTCAACACTATAGTTATGATTTTATTGACCATTAGACATACTCTTCATCACTGCTGCATATATTTATTATTAGGGATATAACTGGTTTTATACTGGATTATTGGAGTTTAAGTTACGTTATGACTACAAGCTGATATTTTTTTAATTTTCATATTGTTTTAATGAACACGGAAAATAAAGATGTACTTTGACCATTTAAAATTATTTTTTGGCTTTTGCTATATTTAGACAATAAATCTCCATAAATACGAACACATATGAAGCGCCACCTTGTAGCAAGTATGATTTTAACATGTGATTTGTCAGGACAAACAACATACATTAATATATTTTAGTAATAGCGTAGAGTGGCTTTGGTAATGACATGGAAACGGTCAAATAAAATTAAAAACAACCAGATTTGTATACCTAGATAACTTTACATTGTAAACAAGGCGACATTTTATCAGAAGATCATCGAGAAGTTATAAATTACGAAACTACAATAATATAGTAAATTCCAGAATACTTAAAATTTAACTATTATTTGTAACCAAATTCTTCATGTAATCATTCTTAGTGGTTTCATTCAATCAATGAACAATATGTACAATTTATTTACACCTCTTATTAGTGAGTATACCTTTTTGTGTCAAACATCTACTGGTTCGACATTTCATTCACAGATTTACTGAATTTCTTATTTTGTTGCCTGCTAGTGTTACAATCAGGAACTACAAAGTAAACGGCATAACTGTAAATGTATATGTAATGAATTGTTTGAAACTTTAGTTTCAATCTCGAAAGCATGATTTAGTTTCATCTGTTTATTTTTAACGAATTTCTCGCAAAGCTAACGAGGGGTTACCAGTGTTAGTTGTCCTAATTTTGAAGCCATAGAAAGAGGGAAGGAAGCTGGTCAACATCACCAATCGATAGTTCTTAAGTTGTTCTTTTTAGGTCGAATAGTGATATTTTATTGCCACTCTGATGACTCACCTCGGCCACAAATTACGGAATGCGATTTATTTATATATTTATTTTTGAATTAAGCGGACATGGTCTTTCTCGCTGTTATATGTTCGTTTCTAAAATGCTTAAAATTCTTCAGGTATAACAAGACTTAGTGATAACTCGGTTAATTATCTCGTGTAACACGACTCAGTGATGACTCGGTTAATTATTTTGTGTAACACGGCTCAGTGATGACTCGGTTAATTATTTTGTGTAACACGGCTCAGTGATGACTCGGTTAATTATCTGTATAACACGACTTAGTGATAACTCGGTTAATTATTCTTCCTTTCGTTTTTTAAAATAAAAGTTATTTCTTTATATATTTAAAATAGGTGAATTGATTACTTATGTCTACATTTAAAGTACGTTATTTTTTCCTACGCAGACGTCCGTACATATTGTGACGCACAGTCAATATTGGATATAGCAAGTCATTTGGGTAAAAGCGATTTAACTTACTATTGATGCACACATTTCAGCCATCTAATGTCTATTAGATACATGAATATTTGTGTGTTTCTATACGTAAGTGAACAGAAAACAATGCGTAACCTCAAGACCATATAATAAAATATATTCTGAACCCAGAAAATCACAATTAACCCCTGAATCTTCTTCTCCGTAACGACTCAAATCCCAAATAATTAGGGGTCGCCCGGATATTTTTTAAAGCCAAGACTTCTTACACCTGAGCGGCTGATCTAGACGGCAACCATCTTATCACGATTCGAGCGCCCTAACCACCTGGTTATGTTAGACCCACAATTAACTTCTAAACCTAAACCCACAAAGGACATTACACAATGCAATGCTAGTGTAAAACTAACGTAAGAAAAAAAAACGATAAACCTACGATGAATTTTATTGAATTTTTATCTGAGTATAAAAAAAATAAAATTTATAGTTATATATATTGTAAAAGTTGGGAATTTTATCTTCAAGTATCCGGTGCTTGGTGTATTCAGAGGCAATACATTTCTACCTTCCCCTTTTTTCATAACTTACATACACACCTTTTTTCCAACAATTGTTGTCAGTGTTGCTTTCTTTTATTGCTTGTTTTGTAATTAAGCACAAAGCTAAACAATGGGCTATCTGTTCTCTGCCCACCATGGGTATCGAAACCCGGATTCTAATGTTGTAAGTCCGCAGCCATACCGCTGTGCCACTGGGGGGCACTTTTATTGCAGAACTATAGAATGAACTACCTCCCCCTGCCCCTAATTTCAGCGTCGTAACTCCATAATTTTACGGATGACCCACCGCGACAATTTTTCTCGAATAGAAATTATCTGTTAGTAGCGCCGATATTTATAAAAATATGCTACGTCGATATTGAACAATTATGAAGATAAAAAAAAATCTGGGACTAATAATTGGATCTATATTTAACTTTAGAATGTAATTTTTATTTTCGCTGGAGGTACACTCTTATTGATTTCGTTAATACGTATTTACAAAATCCAGTTACTATCGAACAAATACCTAAAAGTTTTAGCACCTACTAAGTTCTCTGGTACAAAATCTAATTATTTATATAATGAAGGATTAAGCAGATTCAAGTTTTCACCAGTGAATCTCATGAGAACTAAAAGAATATTTCATGAACTAGTAAAACAAACTTCTATGAAACTGCAACTATGATATATATAATTGGGAGATTTTATAAGTGAGATTATCGTCTGTACCATATGACTGAGTCGGGTTAAACTTTTTCGAGAACCCAGTCCCTTCCGCTGATTTGAAGATGTTGTTATAATATCATCCCATTTTATCTTCCATGTCATGGACGCTAGTTCTGCTTCCAATTTAAAGTGTCTGAAAAAAGTTGTTAATGAATCAAGATAAATCTACATGTAACTCAATTACAACTGTAATAATAATCAACTAGGATAGAGTAATGTAATAGTGAGTAAAACTTCGATACTAAGTTATAACATATTATAGAACGTAAATAGCTTCAAGCACTTAGCGATGACATCTATAAGGGAAGAAAATTCAGAGCTTTACTTTCTAAGAATTAATCTTACATTTAATCATTAAACTGCCACAAAGCTTAATGAAAAAAAGAAATATTTGTCACTACTGAATAAGAAATAAGTTGAACATCCCAATAATTTAAAAGTTAAAAATTAAAGTACAAGATTTTTTCTTTTGAACTAAATATAATTGAATACAACAAGTTAAATTACAGTTTCATAGCTAATTAAGTACCATTTTTTATTTATAATATTTAATACAATAAGTTAAATTACAGTTTCATAGCTAATTAAGTATTGTTTTTTATTCATGTGTGTAATATGATATTAACATTTAAATAATCCACCTTTAAAAGAGCGCTTTGGAGAGTAACAGAATTAATCCTTAAGAACCTGATTTTTAGAGGAATTGGAGAAAAACGAGTTTAATTATAGATCACTTACAATTATGGTTCTGATATAAAAGATATTTGACATTATGATCTTGTTTAGGCTAGCAGTGAAAAAAATCACAGAACATAAATTTACAAATGAATTGATTATATACTGTTAAACTAGAATTATATTGTACGTTTAGAAACAACGTGAATCAGAATGTGTAACTCGAAATTTATAAATAACTTTTCTTTTACCAAGTAGTTCCTCCTGCACTTTATCAATGTCAAACTATATTTTCTTTGCTTTAGGTAATGAAAGGAGTGATTTAAAAATTCAATAAAAGTTGCAAGTACAAATAGAATAAACAAATGTACCTGTACGCGAAGAAGGAGAATATGCAAAATACCAGGAATAAGACGCTTAGAACGGCACTGACCACCATGTAGTGAGGAACATCTGTGTTAAACAAGTATAAGGGAAATCATCACACAACTAACAGACGAATAATTTAAACCAAATCTAACCTAAAATCATATCGTAAACCTCTAATATTTTCTGACAGTAATTTATTCTTTGATCAAAAAGCCAGCCATTCAGTACTTTTTTTACATAAAAATGAGGCAAATATTTCAATTAAGTAAAAATATCCAATGACGAAATAAAGTAATGCATATAAAAGTAGGTTATTTGGAACGTAAATTAATCATTTTACAAGTAATGAAAAAATTGAGAAAATTAAAACACGTGATTTATTTCTTATTATGTGCAAAAAAAAAACAACAACGAAACAAGAAAACTCGACATAGAGTTAAGCATGCCAAATGTAGTGAAAAAATCGATAAGTTATATTAAATTAAAGTGCACTACACTACATCCAATAGTAAAAGTCGATTAACCATGCTCTACTTTATAATGAGAAATAGAACTATAGATGAATCATACTGGTATAAAATTTCAATGTAGATAAAACATGCATCAAACCTTGAAAAGATCTTACAGAGTCTAAAAATAACTGATTTAGCCTTTTTTTCTTACATACTTAGCAAAATAAATGAGAGTATCGTATTTCTAATTAATTCTACTCTTATCGTCATTGTCCGACTTAGATATTCACAAAGTTTGCTTGCAAACTCTTTTGTTTATTGAATTCGTATTAAACAGTGTATACCACACTTAAACTTTCCTACACGGTTTGTTTACACGGGAAAACGTAATTTCTAGAATGCAATTTGTTGACAAGGTAATAAGAGTTATTTTAATGAGATATGCATTATAGCGAACTATTGTTTAGTATACAAATTAAACCAAACCTTTTATAACAGAATGATTAATATTTGTTTTGAAACACATTGTGAAATTATACTTTTTAAATATAGATACTAAAGCAGACAAAACGTAAAAGAATATAGATGACTTGTTTTTTTTAGATTATTTTTCAGATTTATATATTTATATAAAAACCTCCTTAAACTTTTGTATTTGTTCTCTAAAATAAGATTTACACAACTTATAGAAATAGTGTGAAAGCGGTTGTACCATTATCAAGACATTTGGAACCGTCAAATCCACAAGTTGGAATATCTGGTGGAGGTCCCTGGCGGCCACCAGACCAGTGTATTTTCTTTCCTGGAACTTCTACAAATTGTTTGCTTACACCAAAGTAATTGGCCACCACCTGACGTAGTAGATTTTAAAATGATTTCTCAATTCAATTTTCGACAACCAAGAAAAAAAATTGTTTTGAAATATTGACTTTAATAGTTATTGAATGTAATTATAAACAACATACATTAGTTCTGGAAAACGAAACAGTTATTAGTCTCTTATACAAATTACAAGTAAATACCCATAAAAAGTATGCACAGTTTGATAAAAGTATTATTCTTTCCAACAGAATAACTATGGAAATCCTCAACTTGAATTTTATTATTTACTGGAAATATATTAAGAATATTTTGTTTTCTTAACAGCAAATTTTTGACGAAAAGAACAGAGCTTTCCAAAAATCACGAACGTACTTTCATAAGATCTACGACCTCTGAAAGATTCACGAAAATATTTTATATGTAATCATAGTAATTACAACGTAGATATATTTTGATCCATTTCCAAGTCCATTGTTTCGATACTCTTTTCTCTCTCTAAGAAGTGAAATGAGTTTGTTTGTTTTTTGTTAAGCACAAAGCTACACAATGAGCTACTTGTGTTGTACCCTCCACGTTTTTTAGTGATAGAAGTCTTGAGGGACATGAAAGGTTTACCGGTGATAAATAGAGTTTCCTATCTGAACTTTGTAAAACGCCTGTAAAAACTAATAATGTGTTTGTTATTTTTGTCGTATCTAATAAATTTCGAATATCTTGAGACCTTATATATTCATATACAGCATTATTCTGTAAAGCAGCGTCGTGCTGCACATCGTAATCTCTTGCACAAGTATTACACGTACTTCTAAGAAACAGACTTCTTCTACATAGCTCCATTTGACCACTTATATATTCAGTTTCTGACCACTCCTTAACAACCAATAGACATTTTCTTGACACACCTTAATACCAGGAATGTTATCATTAAAGTATTACTTCTACAGCTTGAAGACAGCCTAACATTTCCAGTCCTGAATTTTGGGATTAGCAGTTTATAGTGTGCTATCTTACAACTACTATTTTGTACTGAGAAACGCACATAACCAAATACTTTAAGTCGACGCAAGTGCAAATTTAAAGAGAAGGTTATCAAACAGTGGAAACAAACCAAGTTCAATAATTTTCAGTAATAATAATGATAGTAAAGAAACAATTACACTGAAAATTATAATTATATTCCTCATCTGTATTCAGATTCTATTGTTTTGAAACTTTTAAACAATTCAAGTAGTATTTATTTCAAGACTCAAAAGAAAGCGTTGTTATATTATATGCAATTTTATGGTACGTAGAAAAAAATAGTGAACATTGCATTAAATGTGTTTGAACTTATCAGACAGACAATAGGTGATTAATTAGCACGTATATTATAATATGTGTATTTATCTCTTTACTTCGTAGTTCTACCTTCTCATACTAAATATAGACAAACCATCATGAGGATCTATGCAGCAGCCCATTATTTTATGAAATTCTGGTCTTTGTCTATCAACGCCTACCGTCCTACGAAACAGACTCTGCTTCGATAAACGTTTTGTGGCTGAAGTTTGTATTAATATTAAGATGTTTAAATTCAGCATATATCAAAAATTAACATTTTCTAATATATTCTTAATCTATAAAAAATTAATTCGTATTTTACGAATCACTTGCGGACGACATTCCAATCGGCTAGCGCAGAACTTTATCAATTACTGAAGAAGGCCTAAGGCATGGGCTAGAAAATCTAAACGTCGTCTGAAAGTAACCTTTGGACAAAGTTCATAAAAACCTTTCGGTTAAATTACTAACCTCTACCTAGCCCCTCAGTGGCTCAGCGATAAGTTTACAGGCTTACAACACTAAAAATTAGGTTTCGATACCCGTTATGGGCAGAGCACAGGTAGTCCACTGTGTAACTTTGTGCCTTACAATAACCAAAACAAATTTCCACCTGAGCCTTCTTTCGTACAATACTTTGTTTGTGACTATAGCAATTATAATTAAAATTTGTGTCTATACTGATGTAATATTATCTCAAACAGTATGGTAAAAACTTGTATATAAAAGGTGTACGTTGTCTTCTGAAGTAGACTATAGTTAACGTCTATGTCTTTCAAGATCTAACAAAGCCTGAAACAAAGTGTGATTCAGTTCTATACCAATATAGGAGTTACCAAGTATACTCTCTTTATAAAAAACTAGAATAAATTACCCAAAACAGACATCTGCATGCCACAAAATGGATGCATTGGACAGCAAATCACACACACATCAAACACAGAGTAAACTTACATGAAATAGGCCGGTCTTTGGATCCATATCTAAGAGAGAATAATCTGCATTTCGATCCCCGTTTTCGTCAATACTCACATTTCCTGTAATTCCTGGAAATATAAGCAATTTTAAATTATTTCATGCTGTTATGCTGTTATTATGCTAACTTTTATGGTATAGTAGGATTTTTTAATTGCGTAACTACAAGAAATATTTATATTTATGGCAAATCTACTAAGGCTATCTGTTGCCGTCCCTAATCTTAAACTATGACCAGAGAGAAGACATACAGTCAGCAGCATCCTCCAACAATCCACTGTAAGGGATCGTCTGTCACTCTTAGAATACATCCACAGCTTAAAGTGCAGAAAATATTTCATGTCATCGAATAGATTCGAACCAGGTTGTCCAATTCCGAAATCCAAAGTTCTATACTAAAGGGCTAACCCGTGCCCTACCTAGAAACATTTGAACGAATATGTGTGTTATTTTCTATCAATTACTGGTAAAAAAAATTAGTTAATTCAATTTTTCTTCCGATCATTCAAAGTGAAATATATGGGAATCATAAGAAACAGTTACTTGGGAATATAGAAATAGCAAGCTGAGGTACCCGTCCTTTGTCCAGGTTATGAACTTTAAAAAATGTGGGGGTGAATGGCTTGACAATAACACAAAAATCCAAAATTTCACATAATTTATTTATAAGATAACTTATTATTATTACAGAATTCATTAGTATCTCACCAAAAGTTCTGTATAAGCTTTAAGAACTCAATATTTAAAACATTTATGATGTTAGAAAAACGCGTAGGTTCAAAAAGTCTTGATAGAAATTAATAAAAACTCTATAACCTGAGTGCTTTCGAAAGGTGGACCTTTCATCTTCAGGAGTAAACTGAGAATTCTGAGCAAACTTAAAACATGATATACACTGTGTAATTGTCAGGATGGCTTTGTAGGAAGAGTTATGTGTGCTTTCTGTTACCCGCTTTCAACACCTATTTATTAATGTCTATTCACAGAGTTTCACATTATTAATTAATTGAAAGTCATTGGTCGCAAAAGTGTCTTACGGGACGAAGTTGAAAGGTCGTGAATCAAAGTAGGAAGTGGCATAATTCAAGAAACGACTCTCATATCAGCCTTACGGTAGCTCTTGGAGTAAAACCTTCAGCTGAGTCTATGTATTATTGCAATAGAGTCGGCCATTTTTTTCATTCATTCCTCCATAGAGAGTACTAGTGCACTGTATGAGATATATATAACGCGTGTGTGCCCCCTTTTACATTGTGTTTTATAGAAAGTTGTTTGTTTTTGATGTAAGGACGTGGCGCCATCTATGTATGTAGCTAACTTTAAATTACGCCAAAGACAATAAATGTTCAATAACAACAATAATGGAGATGGAGGGGTTGCGAACCCCCATTAACATGCCCCTTCTTCCAAACTATCATACCACAAAGTTTAGTTGAGATTGACCTAACAACCTAGGAGTAGTTAGATAACGAACAAACAGACAGACAAACACATTTTTATCTCTTCTAAGTCGTGCAAAAGTATCCGGTCATGTTACCTCTTTGTTCCATACTGTATATATATATATATATAATATACTGTGACAGTGTAAACTACTTGTACCTGATGATGACAAAACCTTGTCGAAACGTTGTACATTTGCTGTTATGTTAAACTTATATTAAAGTTTTCCTACATTACCCATTCAAGCCGTCTCCAAGCATTATATGATAATCACCATCTTTCAAATTTGACCACCTATTAGGTCTAGATAATATGAAAGGGAAATAATTATTATTTCAAACTGCAATTACTAACAAACGAACTTTAAAACGTAACGTTACTACAAAGTGAATTAATAGGACATTTTGTGGGAAGTATTGATGCTAAAGGAGAATGAAAATAGTTTTATCGAAATAATACACCCCAGAAATACACATAAGATACATACACAATGATTTGTAGTACAGGTAGATGTCATGTATGAAAATTATCACTAAGATATAATCTTTCCATATTTTATTTTATATGTCCCTGTGCAAATCTTTATTTATAATGATACGTCATTTATAAAAATACAAAAGATATTAGAAACCCGATATCACACAGCAACCCAACATGCGTGTTCCCTATACTTCAGAAAGGTATTTGTAAAATGACATAGTTATTTTTGGACACTTGATAAAGAATGCATTACAAGTTAAAAACATATCTCGTATCGCTTCAAGCACAGAATTAAAAATGTGTTATCTCACTCCTAATTTAGCAGAGGTTAAACATTTATTTGCCCGAAAAGAGGCCAAAGGCTTCCTGGAGGGTTCGCTTGTTTTAACCACTCGTACCACTGTACAATAGTGTGTTGTCTGTCAGTCAGTTCGTAAAAACTAAAATGACGTCACATGAAGGATACTTAACGTTGCATTTTGTAGTGTCGTGACGTCAGTAAAATGTGAGCCTGCCATGAATCACAAGAAGAATTATACACCCTGTAGCCTACAACACAACATGACATATGAACTTCAAAAGCAAGAAAGAAAAATATTTGTTACTCTTGATTTTGATTTTATTTGCTCTTGAAACAGGACCCTGTAGGGATACACTAGTTCTTGATATATAAGCCATTTGTTATTTAACTTCCCTTACCTTCAAAGGTGCGATTCCACATTTTCTGTGTTATAACACTACCGTTGGTAATACTTCCACCTTCCGTTAATGTTTCATTCAAGGCTAAGGCGTAGAGAAGAACAGCTTCGTGAAAGGCCGTAACAAAGGTATTAACCTGAAATTAATATTTGAAACTTCGGTATATTGTCTTTGTTGTTGTACAGAATAATTCTATATTGTCCTAAGCAATAAGTGTCTTTTATCGGTCTCACCTTTCTGCTACTTTATATCCATATTATGTCTATTTTTTACGATTTATAATTTGTTATAGATGGATATATATAAAAAAAAAAACTGTTCTGAAACACTTATTAAAAATATTTTTTATTCATTTCCATGGTTTTTCCGTTATTAAATTATGATATTAAGTTATAATTTTCGGCCTACAAGCTCATTTGTAGAGTTTGTTTGTAATTAAGCGCAAAGCTACACAATGGACTATCTGTGCTCTGCCCACCATGGGTATCGAAACCCGGATTCTAGCGTTGTAAGTCCGCAAACATACTACTGTGCCACTGGGGGGGGAGCTCATTTTTAGAGAACCTAAAATGATGGCGGCACCAAAAGAACACGGAAAGTTAATGACTAATTAGTTCTATTCTAAAGTTTGTCGTATTAGGAACAAAGTGCGCGTTTTCAAATATTTGTATATTGTTGTAACATTGGGAAGATTCTTTTGGAATATTTGGTAAAATTAATTCCATTTCCAGTCTACGTAACTGTAATGAATTATTTATTTCTTCAATAAAGCTTTGCTACAGCCACGTTCACTTATAAGCCTGATTTCTTAATTAAACTTTTCAATACAAATTATGAAACTAATGTAGGTCTAACTTCGTCAACGTTTCAACAGAAATCCTGAGACTAATGGTACGTACGCCCTACTTAGTTTAGATCGATAAACAAACACTTTAAGTCACAGAGCAGCTGCATAACAGAACAGACGCGATAATTCACTTCTAACATTGAATAACTTTTCTGGCACTGAACTGACTCAATAATCACTGGTTATTTATATCTCTATTGTACCCCTGTTTCTACCAATTATAAGACGCATTAATAAAAACACGAGACGAAAAAAAAATATGTCTATGTTTAGTGAATAGAACTGATTACGTTATTTACCGAAAAAGAGGCGCCTCATAATTGAAAAATATGTGAATGAACTTTTGTTTATTTAATTAAAAATTGTTTTTTTAATTTTCTTTCTAGGATCTCAATAGTCAAACAACATCATTGGAAGTCATTCACTCAGTCCCTCGGTGGGACAGCGGTAGGTCTTCGGATTTACAATGCTAAAATCGGGGGTTTGATTCAGCTCGGTGGACACAGCAGATAGTCCGATGTAGCTTTGCTGTAAGAAAACACACACACGCATTCACTCAATCTCATACAACAAAGTAAGATCAAAAGGTTTGTCCCCAATGGCTCAACTGTAAGATTGCGGGTTCGCACTGCAAAAAACCTGGTTTTGATGCTCGTGGTGGGTATAGCAAGGATACACCATTGCGTAGCTTTATGCATAAAAATAAACAAATCTAATTTTTTTTTAATATCATAAAAATGTTTCCGGCGAATTATCAACATCCACCTGAACCTTCTTTCAAACAAAATATAATATTTTTTACTTTTATAAAAATCTAAAATACTTTACCTCTTCTCCCCGTAATCAAACCCGAAATATAATATTTTACTTTATAAAA